TTTGCATTAACATTAGGAGCTATAATTTAACAGAGTTTAAGTTTTAGTATTCGACAACAACTACACCAAATTTTAGCAAGATCATATAGATAGATTCTGCAAACCGCAGCATAATGCAAAAAAAGGTACTGCGGCAAAACGGCCCAAAAAAAATTGTTTATGACATTGGATGCAATTTTTTTGTTAGATCAGATTTTTTAATACTTACTCTACAACTTACTGAAGTATCAAAGTCTTCTTCAATGCAGAAGTTGGTTAAAAAATGATAAACCACATAGATATATTATGCACATGGCAGCACCGCTGCATAAACCACGTTTACTTTCTAAAGCTCGACTCCAGTGTTATTGATCAAGTACGTTAAAACTGCAAGTGATCTTAAAAATAACGAAATCTTAAAAACGAATAACGAACTTTCACCCTGTTAAAAAAATTTAATACTTTGGTAAGTTATAGAGTAAGTATTAAAGAATATGATCCCACAAAAAAATTGCGTATAACGTTGTAAACAACTTTTTTTAGGCCGTTTTGCCAAAATACCTCTTTTTGCATTTAGCTGAGGCTTTCAAAAATTATCTTTCTGATCTTGCTATAATTTGGTGTGGTTATTGAAGAATTCTCAAGCAACAGCTCAGCTCTGAATGTTTATGCAAAATAGAGCTATTGATTTTTTAATATTAGCTTAAAAAACAAGGTTTTTTGCATTTTGCGGGGAAACCGCTAAAGCAATTGAAGTTGGCTGAAAATGTTTTGTTCGTCTTTTTGCCCCGCATACTTATACATTCTTTTCTTAAGGCTGTTGTTCGTTTCCAACGCTCAAAGCAGTGTTGTACCATTTTTGCCATTTTTTTAAGCCATATACTATTTTTTGTTCTATTGTATGACAGTCGATTGGCATTGTTTAATTCTCTATAATATATTTTTTAGCACTCATCTGAATTTCATAAAAAATTACCGACATTGTAGCTAATTCGATCCCACGCATTCTGTTGTGAGCAATCCCTACTTTGGAAATTTGATTACGGCATACTATCATTCGTAACCTATTATTAATATAAATATTTATTTACTGTATAGTAATTTATTTAGTTAAGTTATAAATCAGAACAATTAATACTTTTCTTGATAGCAGTATTTTTGCAGATATACGTTTTTTTCGATAGCTTAAAAATTATTATGCTTCTTTTGCAAAGCGGTTTTCTATGTATAAATGAATACTCATCTACTTATTATTAGTTTGTTACTTGAACGATAAATAAACGATTGTTTGTACGATTTTCTTAATATTATCCATAATTTTCAAAAATTAAAGAAAATTCTTGTACTGTATAAATACAATAATTGCGTTTTATTCTGTTACAATTGTACCAGTAAAAAGTTCAGAGAGAGGAGAAGAGAGAAGCGCAAATATTTGCAACAACACTGGCAGCTTTTTTTCTCATATGGATAAACTTGCTACTCGCGTGTACACATACTTAACGTCCTCTTCTTTCCTGTGTTATTAAAAAAAAAGAACTTATATATCTATTTAAAAATGCAACACGGTTATCTTAAAGTAATCTTCCATTAAAAAAGTTGGGAGGTTTCTACAAACTATAAAAATGCGACTTCACTTGACTTTTTCAAATGGTTACATGTTACATGGCAATTTTTTAAACTGATAAAAAAGGATGTAGTTAAACGATATACAATTTTTTGGAAATTTCTTACGCTATTTTGGATATATGTTTCATGTGAATGTGGTCTAGAAAAAAAGGTTTCAGCGTATCTGACAGATGTGAGCATCACGTTAGTAATGTCATCAGCGTAGGTAGTAGGTAGTTGTTTGAAATCATCGAAAAAGTTGATAAAAGCACATAGTCTTGTACTAGTCAGCCTATATACTGTTGATATTGTAAAGTGCCGTAATATGTTGCTTCTAACTGTTAATGTGTTGAATATTGAAATATTTATTGAAACCCTGCTCAATGAAAGTAGGTTTACTTATTTCCGTATTAATAGCACCACCTTCGTACTTAATATTGTTTCATAGAAAATATTTTTATACTCACAAGTATATTGTTTGCCATACAATTTTGTATAAGTATAACTTTATATGTGGGTATCAAACCACCCACCGTTAATAGGTTTTTTCATCTACTTTACTTATTTTTTATGGTTATTTATTTATTAAATATAACAAAATTCATTTAAACCGCACCCAATGAACATACTTGTTAAAACGATCTTTGCACCACCTTCATATGCAATATTATTTTATAGATATAGTATTGTACATCCCTGGTTTGTATACATTAATAGTTGTGTGTGAATGAATTTAATCATTTTTTTAAGAGAAGTATAAGATAATATCTAAATAGCTATAAAAATTAACTTTCTGTCTCTTTGCACAAGGCATTTACATTTACATTTACATATTTCTCCTATTGATCTCTCACTAACACAAACACTTGAAATAATATGAATGCAAAACATTTTTTAATCGATCGAATTTTTGTGCCATTTTGTAACGCGTCACATGGTGACACATAATTTTTTGATATTTTATTTTGAGAATTTTGAGTGGACCCGTTTTGATTTTAGTGTTTGTTGACTCTTATTTCACTCTTAAGGTTTCGTGCCCATAATAATTTTTGTTATATTTTATAATATGAATCACGTATAACCATCTACAAATCATAAAGAAACGTGTTAGTTACCCTAAGAAAAAGAATTTTGTTACTTTTTTCCAAGATTTAAGTCTGGGACCTCCACATGTCAATTAGATCATCAGTCATCAGTCCATTACGCCACAGTACCACTTCATTCTCGTTGCATAAATAGAGTAGATATACCAACTGCCCCTTCGCATATAATGTGTAGTTGACAGAAAGAGAAAGAGAAAGAAGGAGAGCATGCACGTCTTACACGCTACATTATATAAACTACTAGCTTTTTTTTTTTTTATCACTTGTAGGCTTAGACATGGTTTTCTTTAACACAAGCACAGTGTTTATAAAGCCATTGATGCCCCTAAGTTATGACCAGATGTTTATACGTATAAGTACGAGGGCCAACTTGGTCACACCTATGATCACGTAAGCAAAGCGTCAGAAAAACAGTTAATTGACCCACGAGAACTAATAGCACAGATGAAACGGTGAGACTTGAACGGTCACCCATGCAAGTATTAACTGCATCAAATGTTGCTTATCCTCGGAGATCGACGGAACTGCAACTCTACCATGGCGCCACCGTGATCAGTGTATATATATATANATTTTATATATATATATATGTATACTAATAGCTGTCGAGAGAGCATGCGGCAGTGGGGGGAGGAGCAACAATTAATGAGGCAAAAAAAGTGTGACGCTTTCCTCTGCTTTTGACTAGCGAGGGCTCTACATAAAAAGCTTTTCTTCAAAAACTTATAGGTATACGGGTGGTGCACTCTCTTAAAGCCATATATTATCAAGCCTCTGGGCCCTTAACCCAATGTTAGAGTAGAATGGAATGGATTGTTAATCGGAGTGGAAGAAATAAAGTACGGTCTTTGGTGTTGACTTTACTTAATAGTGGCCTATTCGCTAATACAGGCAAGCGTGCAAGTCTCTCACTCAACACGTGACTAGAGACTCACCTGGTAGGAAGTAGTACGTAAACTATGCAAAACAAAAGTATAAGCTAGGGAATTTGCAATAAGTAAAGAGAGACGTGTGATCATCCTTCATACTAACAATCTATAAACATTTATTTATTGCTATACATTAAAGTCACATTACAATCAACAAACGTTGACTGAATTTTTGGGTTGCCATACTTAGCACCTAAGATTGTGTTGATAAAACACAAGAGTGTCTTTAGTTTTCGTAAAATTTGGCATTTAGTCATTTTATTTGTAGGAATGAGACCGCCTATTCATTAATCGAATAGGTCATAACAGCAATTAAAAGTACGTAACAAATACAAAATATGAATGTAAACATCACATTAATTTAAATGTATGTTCTATTGCGTTCAGTTAACTACGATCTGACTAAAATTTATTTTCGTAGCTATAGGTAGATATATATATATTTATATATATATATATCATACTGTAACATGTAAATATATGTATAGATAGTTTATCATACATATTGACCTACAATCAGTGGTATTGAACTTTAAAGTTCTCTTACATATTTGGTTCAGATTTTTTATATAATTGCAGCTCCGTTATTTGTAATCCATTACACATAAAGGTCACCTCAGAATTTTCTATTTAAACTAACATCAGAAATCATGAGTGATTTTTCTCTTCAGCTTAGGTATTAAATTTGTTCATAAGGATGGTATTAAGTTTTACTGGAACGCCATGGGTTATAATCTGGCGCAACTTGTACATTCCAAAGTGAAAATAAGTAACTCTTTCTTTTTATCACTATTGTATGTGCTTCCTTTATTGAGGATATTATTATATAAGTCAGTTTAATACAAGTGTTATACAAAATTATGCTGCACACGAATAAACCTACTATTTTCTTGGCTTTGATCTCATAATTTTTCGAAGTTGATGAATTATTTGAAAAAAAATTTTTTGTGGGTAATGTTAGATGAAAATTGCAAATTGAAAAAAGTTTTTAATTTAACACATGAAGTGCAGCTAAACTTTTTTTTTGTTTAAAGAAGATGTATATTCATGAAAATTTCATACAACACAAACACAAGTTTTTTAAGACTTCTTGACATGACAAGTGGCTCATATTACTCCAATCAATAATAGTTCCTGAAGTGTGTATACCTTTAATAAGATTTTGAAGGACTTTTTGTTACTTACGGGTTTTAATTAAGTCTCTGTTGTCATAAGTAAAGAATCTAACTTAGCTACGCATTTTACCGTTGAAAAATTTTTTTTTAGTATTAGAGAAATGATAAGGATAAGAATACTGTTATAATTTTCTAGAATATCTGTAGTTGATAATGGAATTGATGTTTTTATATTGAAGCGTGAATTAATAGCTGTTATTTTATTTCAGAAAAGCTACATTAAAATGAAAGAATTAGTTCAGGAGTTAAAATCTGTTGTTGAAAAGATAGTGGAAGGTGGTGGAAAAAAATCAAAAGAAAAACATGTTAATAAAGGAAAACTTTTTGTCAGAGATCGAATCAATCTTCTACTTGATCCTGGCTCACCGTTTTTGGAATTTTCTCAACTTGCTGGATACCAAATGTATGGTGATGAGGAAGTCCCTGCAGGTGGAATCATCACTGGAATAGGAAGAGTACAAGGGTAATTAAGTTATATTTTAACTAAATAAAGTTTTTACAATACAGATGTTTCCAAATATCACAACATATTGAAGATGAACTATTAGTCTTCCAAAAATGTGTAATCCACGTCCAAAAAATTTTAAAGCAAAGAAAATGATAATCAATAATAAAATTTATTTCAACACTAGTACCAACCATAAAATAAGTAAAAAAAATATGTGTGCATAGTCGAAAAGCTTACTTAAACACGCTTATGAGAATATTTACACAAAAGGTTCTTCACTAATCCTGTCAAAAATTGTTTTTCTATTTGTTTCCATGAAAGTAGTTCTAAGAAAACTTCCAATTTTTATACAAAAAGCTTAGTTCACTTATTTTTTGGTCTCTAACAAACGTATTAGGGTAACAACAAAAGGTTGTGGAAAAAAAGTGAACAGAACTCTAAGGTCTAAGTTTCAAAATTTATACGTATAAGTGCATCCGTAAAATTATGAAAAAAAGAGTCACACCTTGATATTATAGATAAATTATATTTATTAAATATAACAAAATTCATTTAAACCGCACCCAATGAACATACTTGTTAAAACGATCTTTGCACCACCTTCATATGCAATATTATTTTATAGATATAGTATTGTACATCCCTGGTTTGTATACATTAATAGTTGTGTGTGAATGAATTTAATCATTTTTTTAAGAGAAGTATAAGATAATATCTAAATAGCTATAAAAATTAACTTTCTGTCTCTTTGCACAAGGCATTTACATTTACATTTACATATTTCTCCTATTGATCTCTCACTAACACAAACACTTGAAATAATATGAATGCAAAACATTTTTTAATCGATCGAATTTTTGTGCCATTTTGTAACGCGTCACATGGTGACACATAATTTTTTGATATTTTATTTTGAGAATTTTGAGTGGACCCGTTTTGATTTTAGTGTTTGTTGACTCTTATTTCACTCTTAAGGTTTCGTGCCCATAATAATTTTTGTTATATTTTATAATATGAATCACGTATAACCATCTACAAATCATAAAGAAACGTGTTAGTTACCCTAAGAAAAAGAATTTTGTTACTTTTTTCCAAGATTTAAGTCTGGGACCTCCACATGTCAATTAGATCATCAGTCATCAGTCCATTACGCCACAGTACCACTTCATTCTCGTTGCATAAATAGAGTAGATATACCAACTGCCCCTTCGCATATAATGTGTAGTTGACAGAAAGAGAAAGAGAAAGAAGGAGAGCATGCACGTCTTACACGCTACATTATATAAACTACTAGCTTTTTTTTTTTTTATCACTTGTAGGCTTAGACATGGTTTTCTTTAACACAAGCACAGTGTTTATAAAGCCATTGATGCCCCTAAGTTATGACCAGATGTTTATACGTATAAGTACGAGGGCCAACTTGGTCACACCTATGATCACGTAAGCAAAGCGTCAGAAAAACAGTTAATTGACCCACGAGAACTAATAGCACAGATGAAACGGTGAGACTTGAACGGTCACCCATGCAAGTATTAACTGCATCAAATGTTGCTTATCCTCGGAGATCGACGGAACTGCAACTCTACCATGGCGCCACCGTGATCAGTGTATATATATATATA